GTGAGTGAGTGAGTGAGTGAGTGAGTGAGTGAGTGAGTGTGTGTGTGTGTGTGTGTGTGAATGTATGTGTGTATGTGTGTGTGTGTGAGTGAGTGAGTGAGTGAGTGAGTGAGTGAGTGAGTGAGTGAGTGAGTGAGTGTGTGTGTGAACAATCATCTCTACCATTGCAGGAGTTACACAGCAGGGCCACATGAGTTCAAATACATTTAACTCTACAGCTGCCCGTTATGTATTCATTTGAATGTAAATGTGGCTATGGTACCTCTAAAAACAATACAAGGGCAGTTTTGTTTTATATGTAGACATCATGCAACCATATGCAAACTTTATGGCTCCCTCCACTATTTCCCCTGTCCTTTGGTATTTATTTAATACACAAAATCATACAATTTTCAGTGCCACAAACTGCTGCTCTCCTACATCTTACTAGATGTTTAGCTCTGTAAAGACAGAATGCACCAGTATCATCGATCATTACATCACAAACCCTCTTATTGCTCACAGAAACTGCAGTCGTTCTGTTTCTGTTTCCTTCTCGGCAGCAATATCATGCTCATGAGAAGCTAGCGAATATATTTGCATATAGGCACATGTGGTTTTGTGTAATGTGTAACCAGATTTTGTATTTATTTATTTACTCTCAGCATAGTCACAGTCACAAGAGACCATCTTAATGACAATCATATGTTTAGGTGACATTTGGGTAAATCGGTCATAACAAAAGGGAATATCTGGTTCTGCTCAAGGGTGTCTCATAAATTCAGCGTGTCTCAAAAGAAAACGCTTCATGACTCTCTGTCAAAGAACCCAGCAAACGCTGTCAAATCCAGTCACAGGCTCTGCTGACCCATGATCTTCTGAGGTCTTAACCCTGTGCGCGCAGACTACAGGAGATTCTCTACAGCAGCGCTGGTCATTTTCATGTACAGTACAGATCAGCTCCGTTGGTGCCGTCACATGCATATATAAACACATTTGTGAGCATTTATTGTCCGATCTGTGGCTCTGAAAATAATTTGAGCAAAAGCCACAATAACTTTTGTGTCTCTCACATTATTCTGACCTGCCTAATCCAGGTCAGAAGTGTCATTGTGCCCATTTATTAACAATGACAATCAGATGATTTCAGAAAGGTTTTGCCATTTTAGTTAGCAATATGAATCAGACCCTCGTCTGTCTGATGTCAGATTAGAAGCGGTGCGCATCAACCCAACCTGCAGTCATTTAGGAACTCCAAAATGTTGATGTTGAACAGAAATCAGCTATTTTCCACAGCCTATAAATGTCACTTTTCATCAGTATCTATTTCAGCTTTTGTGAACAGAAGACAGTGTGGAGGACAGGACTGTCCTCGTCTCATTGTGTCCTGTAGAGCATCACTCGCACCTTTGCGTGTGGCTCTTTTATGAAACAGAGTTTATTTAAACGTCTGTCTCACTCTTTAAACACTTCTCAGAGACGCAAACAAATGGTTCTGAACCCGATGCACTTGTTGTTTTAGAGACCAATTTAATCCACTTTAGAGAGCGTTGTATGTTGATACAGTGTCTGATAGTGTGTGTGGCCGAGTCAATCCAGTGACCTCTGTAAGAGAAGAAAAGATGCTGACACTCCGTGACTCAGTACAGTGGACTGCAGAAGACAACATTTGGTATTTTCTTCTGAATCCAAACATGCATGATCTCACTGATAATGCTTTTGATAACTGCTAACAAGAGTGTTCAAATTAAACTGAAGGCATTTGAGGAAATTATTAATTCTCTCAACATTTGCTCTGTCTGAAGTCAGTGTTCAGAGGTGCACAAAGACTATTCAGAAACATTAGTTTTGTCTTCCACAGTAGAAACAGAGGTTTTGTGATGAATTCTCATTCTTGGATGATAAAGTCTTCAAGTTAAGAAATATTGCTGGATATGCACAGATGCACATTTGTACATTTCAGGATTGATCAATTCACAATATCGAATGACTCTCAACATGTTATAATACCCGGTGATGTTTCTCTCGAGGCGTCTTTTCCCTAACACTCTCGTTCTCAACATCAATAATGGATCTTTAAAGGTCCTTCAATCCCTGTTGATATTTACGCTGTGGTTAAAGAGCGTCTGGAGTGAGCGTGGCTCTGCTTAAATGCTCCTTTCATTCCGGAGGTCTCATTAGGACACTATCTGATGTACATGTAAGGTTTTTGCACCAAAAACAATACGCTTTCCGCCCTATCTTTGTCCCTTACAATTACACAGATCTTGAAGATTACAATCTTGCTTATTACTTATAAAGCCCTGCATGGATTAGCTCCTCAGTACTTGAGCGAGCTCATATCGCATTATAGTCCTTCACATCTGCTGCAATCTCAAAACTCTGGCCATTTGATAATACCTAGAATATCAAAATTAATATTCAGATCCTTCTCCTATTTAGCGCCCAAACTCTGGAATAATCTACATAACAGTGTTCAGGAGGCAGACACACTCTGTCAGTTTAAATCTAGATTAAATGACGTGGGTTAATTCCAGGCTGCAGCACAGGTCAGATTGAGCAGAGGACTCGTCTGGTTCTCGTAGTCTTGTGCCGATGGTCGTCTAGGGTTCATCTAGTTGTCCTGGTCTCCGCTGACATTCAGGGCTGTAGAGGTCCTCTCTAGCTGCTGATCCACCGTCTGATCTGGATACGGACTGGATCTGTATGGTTATGGTGACCTCAGAATAAGAATGAAACAGACTAATATTAGCGTAGATGCCATTCTTCTTATGATGTAGCGAGTACATCGGGTGTTATGGGAAGTGTTCCCGGTTCCAGTCTGTCACTGATGGAGTTTTGGTTCATTGCCTCTGCATTATTGACAAACTATTTTCCTGTTTGACACTGTAAAGCTGCTTTGACACAATCAGTATTGTATAAAGCGCTACAGAAATAAAGGTGACTTGACTTGAAACAGAGTGTTTAAGACTTCTGTATGTAAATGAGCTCTGTTATGATTGGCTGACCATGGGCTTGACCTTCCTCTGACCTGTACGCTGTCGCTTTAAGGCACACAACGTCAAAGTCTTTCATTTAAAAAGAGCAAGAAGTGACCTGTTTCCCATCATATCTCATGATTATATATTTATTTAGTTTTATTACATTATTGTCTTTCATAATTGTGCTGTGGACGCAACTTTAAACACGCTGTTCTCATAATACTCATAAATCTCATTTGTGATTGCAGGAGACCGACCTGTTAGACCTCTCGCTCATCAAGGATACGAGAAATGGGAGATTTGCCAAGACGCCAAAGGTAATACAGCATTTACATGTGTTTCTGTGTCGATCATTTGTTCTCGCAGCCAAGCGCTGAGCTTGTGTTTGTACAAACGCTCCACAAAATGAAACTGAACAGACGTTGTTGTCTGTTCATTCCTGGCACAAATACTGTATGATTATAAATGTAGAGATTTCCAGAGAGGAATATGCTGACAAAAATCAAAGCTGCTTTTCCCCAGATTTGAAGCTGGAGATCTTGTATGTGTGTATGAAATACAGAGAAAATGCTTTTCTTTTACAATCACACAGGGATTAGTTAGACAATAGTTTTCCAGAGAAGTTGTCTTAGCCGACAGAAACATTTGCGGTTCAAGAGAGTGTCCGGAATCTCGCAGCAGTTGCGGTGGACAGATGATTGCACTATGAAACTGGAAAGAGCTGATGGTTTCCGGTTCCCAGAATTCATGAGTGCTGATGTGAGAATAGTGTCGTTGTAAAGAGCAGCGGTCTGAGATGTCGTGAGATGTTGAAGAGCATCACGAGAGCTGCTGAGGACTGATGAGATTATCCTGTTTACAGAGCAGCGGTGGCATAGGCCACTTCAACAGTCACTGCTCAGAATATGGAAAAACGCTGTTTCCCACGTCATGATAGTGGCCTTACAGCAGGGTCAAAGATTGATGGCTGGAGAGAGAGCCGTGTGTGTGCTTCACATCGTCTGAATGAAAGCATTTAGTCACAGACACGTACAGTGTGTATGAACACTCATGAAGGCCATTTATAAAGATCAATGAGATTTAGATGCTTCGATTTTAACACCCACAGGAGATTCGGCTCCAAATGACTCGTTTGTAGATCAATAGAATGATGAGCGTATGAACAAGGGTTAAATGCTCCAGCTCTCTTCCAAACGTCACATGATGTCCTGTTGTCCCATAAAATCACATGCTCAGAGAACAGAACTCGCTCAAGCGTATTTTAACCCACGTGAGCAGTTTTGATTTTATGTTTATGCCTTGGTTTTCAGCATTCGGTCCTGTGGCACTGTCCATTCACATCATGACTCATAAAGTCACCTGACCTGAATGTAAAACAGCCACCAGAATATGATGATATCAGGAAAACCCTGCCGTAAGATGAGAGTTAACTAAACTAGACCGCAGATGACAGAAGTTTCCTCACAGAACGCTCCTCTGGCTGTGCTGTAAGAAATATGGTAATACCATAGTACTTTTAGTTTGCCAGGGGAATCCAGTGCATTGGCCAGGTAATGTAGGTTAATTAGCATATGCCCTCCCTCTCACGTCTCACTAATTCGATGGAGCTCTTTGCAGCTGTGGGCGCTCAGATTAATCATCCAAATGCGTGTCAGGAAAACATAACAGGAGAGAAATAATGTTCCCATAGTTGTTGTTGAGTTAAAATTTGATGTGGTCGTATTTGTGCGAGTGCATGGTCTAAGCTGCTCCAAAGCATCTGCTTCATACAGCGCGCGCTGCAGAGCCGCGGCACATTGTTGCAGGAGTCAGAGTTCACTGATCACGTGAAGAGAGGCGCTTTCAGCGCGAGCGCAACGGAGGATTTGGTTTACAAACTAAAGTAAAAGACCGCTTCTTAAGCCAGAGAGGGTGAACATGTTGGTATTCTTGTGGAAAAAAGCATGCAAGTCCTGTCAGTGACAGCCAGTTTAGTTTTACTTTTCTTTTTGTTTTCGTTTTGAAAAGCTTAAATGGCTGCAATATAACAAAGAGTGAAAAATTTAAGGGGGTCTGAATACTTTCCGTACCCACTGTATACAGCATATGCTCGTCTTATTCGTTTTTGTTAATAAAGGTTAGGTAAGCTAGTTTTTCATTGTAGCCTACTGTTTTATTGTTGTTGTGCTTTTTAATTAGGAATAACAATAAATCCATCTTTTGTTTTAGTCTTAAAAAGTGAAAGGTGTATAGATATAAGCAAAACAGACAATTATCTTTTCTTGT